TTTCTTTGAATTCACTTATTTAATATTAGTAGTAGTTGTACAATTACATCTAGCTGACTTTTTTCTTAGTATGAATAATTCAAATCTATGTCAGAAAAATATACCACAAGCTAATCTTATATTATATTATAATTAATAAAATTAATTTAACATGAATTTATAATTATTTTATAAGATTCTTTTAGGTCTATTTATTATTTTAAATTGGTATTGATATATATATATATATATATATTATTTTACATCGATATAAATAATTATATTATTTTTATTTTATTTACAAAACATTGGTAAAATCAAATATCATGGGAAAGAAATGATATGATATATTACATATAAAAGGGTAACCAAAAAAAAATTAAGTATTTCAAAAATAAGAAATTTAATGGTAAAAATTAACTAATTTTTTAACTAAAAATTTAATTTCTAAGACAAAAAAATAAATATATTTATTATAAATGTGCATCTCAAGTATATTTTTACATTTATCATTCGCTAGCTCCAATTGATATATGACATTTATTAATTTTATTATTTTTTTTTTATTTTTGAGTGGAATGTCAGTTATAAGCTTTCTCGTTGTGTAGTTTTACTTTTTTATTACGTAGAACATCATTTTTACATCTTGTTTAGTATTAATATTACCTTTTCAGTAGAACATCATTCTAACCTCTTCTTTAATTATTATAATACTAATAAATTATTTAAGGACTTTTCAACTTATATGTATTTTTTTAATTACTAATTATCATAAATTAAATTATAATTACATTAAATATGTTATATTTTGTATCATTATCAATAATTTTCAAAACAATTAACTGCACACAATATTGTATATAGTGCAAATTTTTTAGTTTCATTTGGAGTCATACTTTTACTACAAGAAAATGATGAAATTCAAATGAAAACATATTACAACGAAATTTCAACAACAATTCTAACGAATATTTCAACATTACAATTTTCGTTTGAATTTTTCAATGAAAATTATAACAAAAATATTTTGCTGCAATCATGTGCAGATCCATGTTTGTCCAATAGTCCTGAAACTGGCATCATCCCAAAACAAATAGCATAAAATATCTAACAAGCATTATGGGAACATTTTTCATAATTTTAATCATGTCCTCTATTTAAAAAATAAAATTAAAAGAATAAAGACAAATAATGATTAATTTACAACTCAACCAATTATAATTTAATTCAACTCATAAAGTTATTAAAATTATAACATCAATGCGGTATCCCAACTAAAGAAAATATGATATCAAAGTTTACAATTTTACGCTTTATTTCTCTCTTTTCTTTTTATTCATGATGATATCTTATTATCTCTCTTTTGCGACATAATTTTTATCTAATTTTAGAAAATATATTTTAAGTCTTTTTTAAGTGTATGTAGAATTCTAGTTATATATTCGTAATTTATACAATCATCTATTATATTGTCGAGTCAACTATACTACAACATAAAATTTTTGTTCATAAAAAGATTTTGAAAAATGTGTTATTCTTTCATGATTTTCTTATGTCGAATTGAGAAAAAATATGTTTTTTGTTTAATATTATTGAACTTATTGTGATTGTATTGATGTGTTAAAAAAAAGTAATACATATGTGAAAGTTGACAAATTATGAAAAGTATACTTTATAAATTGTAATGGCATTATGTTGTTTTGATGCAATACTTTTTGTATTAATTAGATAGTACTCTTAACATGAAATTATTTTGGATTCGCCACTGCAGCTAGTTTTTCAATGGAACTTTCATTGTTTTTCCCAATTTCAGTGACAATTTTTTTAATGGTTGAAATATGACAAAAAAAAAAATCCAACGTAAATTCACATAAAAATAAATATTAGTAATTGAGATATTAAATCCACAAAAATTTCAATGTAATTTAATTTACTCACCATTGGAATAGCTAGTGAATCTTTTCAATAGAAGCTATACCAGTGAAATATCTGTTGGAATTTTCTGTGGAATACCTTACTGTTGGATTTTTCATTATAATATGGAATTTTTATATCCTTTCATAATCATTAAAATGTTTATGTAGTAATTTATTTATTTATTAATTGTGTTTATAATTTTCTCTTAAAATATATTAAAACATCTACTTTTTAGTCCATATAATTTTCTTACAAGTCACTCGTTATTTTATGTTGAGATTACCTATTAATTTCTCAATTGAATTAGTTTCCCTACATATTAATGGAAATAAGTATTATTTTTATATGCAATATAATATTTATATATATATTATATTAAAAAAGCTAATAACAAATAAAAATTATTTAAACTTACAATAATCAATTTATTTTTAAGAAAATTAAAAGCCCTAACATACATAGATTAAAGTACAAATAACTATTGTCAATAACCTAAAACATACACCTATAATTACTAAGCACAAAAAAAATAACAATCGTGCTCGTTTACATCGATATGTACAAGTTTTAAAAGTTTTATATTTATATTTATTAATTATAACATTTTTAGTTATTACTTTTTTCATATTTATTAGTAAGTATTACAACTTAATTATATTTTTAATATTATGTATCAGATTTAATTTTTTTTACTTTATATTGTTCTTTCATATATATACATATAACTTTTAAATTTGTTAAAAAAAATGCATAAAACTAAGTATATAACTTTTTTTGGTCATATGTCTTATTATATCTATTATAGTTGTACATCTTTATATTATATGATGTATAATTACAATTTTCTAATTAATATTATTATCAAATATTAAAACAAAGATATTTTGTACATTTGTTAATAAAGTTGATTTATTGTAATAATACATATTAATAGATAGGTGAGTAATGGTATTATATCGATATAAATTCTTAGTAAAAATAATTAATTTTCAACGTATATAGGCATATCATGATTCAGTATATATTTTTAATTAATTTGAAGATAATGATGGATATAAGTACAAATAACTATTTTCTATCACCTAAATTTACACTTGGAATAATAATAACAAAAATTAACAAGCGTTTAATAACACCTGAATTGCGTTAAGAAATTGAATCCACCAAAAAGTCAATATTAGCTCTCTTAATTCCTCTAATAGTGACTCAACTCGTTTACATCGATAAGTACAAGTTTTAAAAGTTTTACCTTTATTTTTATTAACTATAGCATTTTATTGTTACTTTTTAATATTTATTAATAAGTGTTACAACTTAAACGGATTTTTAATATTATTTGTCAAATTTACTATTTTTTTCCTTTATATTGTTATTTTATATGTTTATATATGTGTATACATTTATATGAAAAAATGAAGTGGACAAGAACAAAACAAAAAAAAAGTTGTGGAAATAAATAAAAAGCACGTATTCTAAGAATACTTTTTTTTTGTAATTTTCATTGAAAAACGTATTTGCATAATACGTTTTTCATTGAAACACGTATTCTGGGAATACGTTTTTCAATGACAATTTGTATAAAAAACGTATTCTCAGTAATATTTGAGGTATCTTCTCTTGATTAAAGTTATGTATGTATCTTGTAAATTATTTATTATATAAAATTTACCCCTCAACTAAGTTATCATGTTTTATCAAGATTTATCGTTTTGTTAAAAGATAGGTAAACAAATAGTTGAGAATATTTAGATCTTTTATAAGTATTTATTCTGTTGTTTTTGTTGCATAATTTTTTGTTTAAATAAATTTTATATATTAAAATCATTAAATATTATTACAATTTTATCATCGAAATTATATTAAAAATAAGGACGTTATTCAAAACAAAAATTAAATATCATTTCAAAACTTTGTTGTTTGGGTTAATGTTGAGTTGATTTTTTAGAGATATGGAAGAAAACGGTTTGAGAGATATGTGAAAGAAACCAAATTCTTGAAGAATAATAGTGTGAATATTGTGGTAGATTTTTAAGAGATGTGGAATGTTTTATTCATTTAATTGTACTAAAAGAATAAAATATCAAATGAGTATTAGTGCATTACTAATTTGAGATTAAAAATATGTCAAATAAAAGAGTTTTTAGGTAAATATTAGTTATTAATAAAAAAAATATAAGATAGGTTATATATTATGTTATTACTAATTTGCCATTAAAAATATACCAAAGTAAGGGTATATTAGTTAGTTCTTTCTTTAACAAAAACACTCATCCTTTTATCGTAGTATTCTGAGTTACCATTTTAGTTAGCACAACATTGAGACATAGAATATAATAAAACATTTGGACTAAATATTACATAAGATTATTTTGTAGATATTGTTTACAAGAACCAATTTGTTTTGGTGGACTTCTGTGGAAGAGTTTTTTTTTTTCAACAGCTACTTAGCTAAGAGAATTATAACAATTTTTTCAAAGACCACCTCAATCTCCTTCATTTTTAGTAAATTTAGAATTATTTGAGTCATACTTTGAGCGTGGATCGTAATAGTTTTCAATGTTATGCTAGTTTTCAATGTTACGTTGTTATTTATTTAATTAAATATTAATGATTAACTAAAAAATATAAGATTTGAAGATTATTAGTGTATTACTAATTTGTCATTAAAATTAAGTCAAAGTAAGGGGTTTTTAGGTAGTTCATTTGTTAATTAAAAATATAAAATAAGATGAGTATTATTGTATTACTAATTTGCCATTAAAAATATGTCAAAGTAAGGGTTTTTTAGGCAGATCATTATTTTTATAAAATCACTCGTCCTTTTATAATAGTCGTTGTTATTTATTTAATTAAATATTAATGATTAACTAAAAAATATAAGATTTGAAGATTATTAGTGTATTACTAATTTGTCCTTAAAATTAAGTCAAAGTAAGGATTTTTTAGGTAGTTTATTTGTTAATTAAAATATAAAATAAGATGAGTATTATTGTATTACTAATTTGCCATTAAAAATATGTCAAAGTAAGGGTTTTTTAGGCAGATCATTATTTTTACAAAATCACTCATCCTTTTATAATAGTATAGATATAGATAGATAAGTACGCAAATTACAAAACAAGTGTAAATAAAAAAGGCCAGAAAAAGATGAAAGCCAGTCCAAAGATTCATAGCTTGGATCAAAAGAGTCTGTTGTCATTGGTTTGAACTCCATGTGTCACTGGGGATTTTGCTCTCATCTTCCTCACATACCAAATCCCTGCCCCTGCAAATACCCCCACAACTGAAACTGCACTAACTGTACCTAAAAACAACAGTTCAAAATCAACAAAACCACACTTCAATATATTTACAACCCATTTNAAAAAAAAAAAATCCAATCTTTACAACACTTAAAAAAATCAAACATGCACGCCCTCTCTCACCTGCCACCACTGCTGGCCTATTATGCTCACCTCTGTTATCTACATAAAACAACAAAAAACATAAACAACTGAAAACAAATAAACATAAAACAACAAGAGCATACTTAGGAAACAAAAAATCTAGGCAAAATTGCCCTTAATACCACGATCTATTTCAAAATTACAATTTAATAACGACTTTTACACTTTTGGAAATTATATCATGTTTGTTGCAAATCGGTGCATGAGTTCTGAAAACAAACCCTAAAAAAGCTAATGTGACCGAAAAACATACTGAAAGTTGTGATATAATATGCATGGGTTTTGCAAATCGGTGCACAAATATTCAACAAACTAAGATTCTGATATAATTTTCGAAAGTGAAATTAAATTGCAATTTCGAAAAATATCGTGATATTAAGGACAATTTTGCCAAAAATCTAATACCTTTGCAGTAAGTAGTGACATTTCCCTTGTCACACAAGCACAAGAAGTCCTGTGTCCGAGTGTCGAAACCGCACGTCCCGCCTCCTTTCAATCTGTCCTGACACAAGAGACAACGTGTCGTGACAGGAATCTCAAATTCTACCCGAATCCCATACTCTGGAATCTGATCAAAATCCGGCCTCGTTCCAAGATTCCTCCAATAAACACTTGTATAGCTCGAGCAATGCCTCATCATCATTCTTATAGACTCACTCCCCTTTGGATAATACGAGCAGCACGTGCTCCCGCGCAATGCCGATGCACAACCTGGCAAATTCCTGCATAGTATAGTGTGTGTGCGAATAAAACGAGTTAGAATACACGAGCTACAGTATTGTCATATTTCAATGAAAAATCATACGGTAACATATTTCAGTAGAAATTCCAACGGATATTACAATGGTATAGCTTCCATTGGAATTTGTTGGAATCTCACTTGTGAGTTGTCCCACATTGATTCTATAGGGAAAATGAATCTAGTATATAAGCCTAGCGGGCTACTCCTCCCATCACCAATTGGTTTTGAGATGGAACCTCACTATGGTGCACCTAGGTTCACCATCTTATGGTACGCTTCATCTAGTGGGACCGCACCCTCTTTTCCCCATTCTATAAATATAATATGGTATCAGAGCGGGCCTGTCCTAAGACCTGCGATGACTCTCTCTACCTAGTCTGCTATGGGCTTGGGATTATTTCTCTACCCGGCTCCCTATGTGGGCTTGGGCTTACGAAGGACTCACAAGTGAGGGGGCGTGTTAGAATATCACTTGTGAGTTGTCCCACATTGATTCTATAGGGAAATGAACCTAGTATATAAGCCTAGTGGGCTACTTCTCCTATCACCAATTGGTTTTTGGATGGAACCTCACTATGGTGCACCTAGGTTCACCCTCTTGTGGTGCGCTTCATCTAGTGAGACCGCACCCTCTTCCCCCCATTCTATAAATTAGGGGTGTTCACGGTCTGAATTGGTCCGGTTTTAGCCCAAATCATGACCAAACCAGATCTAACGGTTAATTTTTTTTCTTATCCATAACCGGACCGGTTTTATTTTTTAACCGACCGCAATCTGGACCGCATTGTACAGTCCGGTTTGGCGGTTAACCGGTTAAATCCAAAATCTTTGTTTTGGGCCTTCAATTTTTATTTTTTTTCATTTTTAGCTTAATTTTTATTTTTTAATTTTGCACCCAAAAGAGATTATTTGGGCCTAAAAATTAAGAAAAACAACAATAATGAAATAAAAAATACACAATTCGTCCCATAAGCATAAAAATACACATTTCGTCTTATAAACATAAAAATACAAAAATGATGAAGATTAAATTATGCAAACTGAACCCAAGCAAGCATTCATTTTTCACTCAGTTTATACACCTGATATAATAAGAGTAAAGCATGCATAGTGAATGTATTGTATTTGTCGGCCATAGTGAATGACTGAATGTATATATATAGTTGTTATAATTTTTTTAATATTTACCGGTCCGGTCCGATTAAACCGGCGGTTTGCCGCAGGTAATCCGTTAACCGGACCGGTTATTCCGGATTTTTAAAAAAATAACTATCGGATTTTTTAAGGCTTTTTTAACTGACCATTTAACCGATCCGCAGTCCGGATTGACGTTTTTCGGTTAAAACCGGACTGTGAACACCCCTACTATAAATATAATAGAATTTCATATAGAATTTGATAATTTCAACGACTATTTTTCCAATGGTTACCGTTGATATATGCAATTTTCAATAGAAATTTTATTTTAATCAATATTTTTGAAAAATCTGTCATTGGAATCGTCAAAGTCCAAAAGAAATTCCAATAAAAAATTCATGCATATTTTTGCTGGAATTTCCGTTGTAATCCATTGAATAATTTGAACGGAAATAATTGCATTGGAATATCCATAGGGATTGTCGTTGGAATACCATTAGAATATATTTTCGTTACAATTTTCTATAGGAATTTCATCATTTTCTTGTACTGAGATAAGCCGTGAAGGCTCGATTTTCGAGACTGGCTTACTCACTAACCTGCAGAGATAGCTCGACGTGTCGCACGTGGAGTCACACTGCTCGGGAAAACGGTTGCAAAACACGGGCTTCGGCTCCATGATCACGTCCCTCTCGCTGCAATTGAAAAATAGATAGTCGTTTTCCCGAGAAAGCCTGAGGCGGGTGCTGGTGTCGAGGCTGAATGGCCCGACGGGCCGAGAATCCAGCCCGTCTCCGCAGGCCCACATGTATGGGTCTGTGACAATGAGGTGTGGGTCCGTGTAGCTTATGTTATGGACTGGGTATATGCCGGATGGAGTCCGGAGCTGAAGTTGGGCCGAGTCAGTGCAGATGAGGAGGTTTTGGTAGTATGGGCTGCCACAGCCGTTGTCTATGCCGAAAGGATAGTTGATGGGAATCGGGCCGCATGAGGTTCGGCATAACGGGCTCTTTCGGGCCTGTGTTTGGGTTAGGAGTAGTGTGAGGCAGAGGATGAAGATGGGGAGAGTGAAAGTTGATGATGTTTGA